CCTGACCCTTTGGTTACCCATTTTTTTCTAGAAGACACATTCCAATAGACACATTCATTCCCTTTCAGTAAACCAATATAATTTAAAATTCAAACCCATTTATTATGCCTCACCACCTTCAAAAACAAAACAAGTTGGAATTCAACGTGTATGCTTAATTATAATTTAGTATATGTTATATGTAACATGATTATAAACCTAAATAATCCCAACAGAAAATGAAACATATATAATTGGGTCCCTTTCATCAAATGATGTTAGCTTAATTTCTTACTACTGAATTTATTCAACTTGTGATACAGAAAATGAAAGCAACGTCATATTTGTAAGGAAATAGTTACAAAAAAAAACACAGGGTCTAAAAATACAGAGCAGTTATGCAACATTATGACAATATTAGTCGAAGGATCTCCCCAAAATACTTGAATGATTTCTCAATTTCTTCCAAACAATGGTTCTTCTCATCTCTAGTCCAACTCTGAATAATTACCAGATATGAATATAGATCAGGGTCACTTGGGGGAAAGAAAAAAGAATGGAGTTTTAAAAGACAATTCTGCAAAAATACTACAAAGAAAATTACCTCAGCAACTTTGTTCAGCTTATCCCTGACATTTTGTAACAGTTGGGAAAGGTCACCATCCCATTTATAAAATTCCAACTCCTTGTTGTCAAGTATCTTCTAAGCTACCTGATATAAAGAAACTTGTCACATATATGAGCTCACCTAGTTGGAAATGAAAGACATGGGGAGACAAAGAAAATAGAGATAGAACAAAACACCGATGCTTGCTTCTATGCAGCGTACAATCAAGACTAACTAATATACTTTTCAACACACATTGTGAGCTAATATTTTGTTTACCTTCTTCCCAATCATCTGACCACCAGCTGAATGGGCAAAATATATGTTGTAGAAATGGCATATGAATGCTTGAAGATCCTTCTCAGATAATTCTTTAACATACTCAGCATAGGTAACACCAGGAGAAGATGGTTCTAGAATGGCATAGCCTTGCTCTTTGAACCACTGTAAATACTTTGCCAATTTTTCAGCCCTTTCCAATCCATTATTTCTGAATTCAGCATCTGCAGCAGACCCAGAAATATCACTTTGGTTTTCTAGCAGTATCTTCAAATAATAAAATACTATACTCAAAAAAGTATCAAGCACATACATGACACAAGCAAGCTATAAGCTATGAACTGGGTGAAGCAAGATAAAACATATACAAGCAAATAAATGACATAAGCAAGCTATGAACTGGGTGATGCATGATAAACCATTTGAAGCTTCAGATTTAACCCAAAGTTAGCACCACTTATGCTTTTAAAGGCATTCATTTCAAAGATTAAACTGCTACCATTCAATCATTTAGGTTAGATGGTAAAGTTTTTTGATGATTCTGTAAATGACCATCAAAGCTACCTGCATCAATGATGGAGGTTAAGGGAAGAGAGAGGGTTATTGAATTTGATAGCCAAACCATTGGACCAAACAACAGAAGGGGATAAAATGGCAAGAGGAAAGTCAAGAATTTGAGCTACACACACATCAGAATTAGTATATAATGGACTTTATGGGGGTGACACCCAAAAACATGCCCAAAATATCACAGCATAATTCCCACCATTTCAGAAACTCTAAACAAAATTATAAGGTGTTTGTTTGATAATCATTATTTAGGTGACATTTGCCAAGAAATTTATCATAGAAATTGAAAATGCAAATAAACTGTGTGATAAAGCAAATGGTACGCATTGAATGAAAAATACTAAACATAGAACCTGGTAAAAAAACATCTAGAAGAAAGAATAATATGAGAATCCAAAAAGGTTGTTCAAATGGGTTAAATCCAGAGGCCAAGACAAACTAAAACTACTTAACCAGCTCCTTCAACAAATTTGAGAAACACTAGTATGGCCATTAACACCAAATACTTCCTATTTGAGAGGTCATAGAAATATATAGAGAATCCTTGCTCAGCAATGAGTTATTACCAATTTCATCCAGGTATAGTGCCCGTAACAAAAAATCCTTATCGTCTTACATATGCTTTTAACTTAAAATAGATTGAAATATCAATCAAATAAAATTAACATGTAATTACTTTTGGTATAGAGTTTTATAGTATGATAAAATTTGAAAATAGTTGTCAACCATGAAACTCAAATAAACACTACATGCTATACTTAATAAGTTTCATTCCCCATACAGAAGAAGAGATCACTAATTTCTTGAAAAATGACGTATTCCATCTGTATTCTTATAGATTTTTAGTCAAATTGAGCACGTTACTCCTAGGGTTGGCAGCCCAACTCGTCCTTAAAAGATTTCGACTTGACCCGACCTCATAGGGTGAGGTTTTTTGTTTTTTTAATTGGGTTTCGGTTAGGTTGGGTCTAAGTAATGTAAAAAAAATTTGAGGTCGGGTCAGATTCAGGTTTTAGACAAACCCAACCCCACCTGACCCGATATTATATAAAAATTTATTTTTTTAATTATTTACCTAATTTTTTATTTATATATATTTATATTTAAAAAAATAATATTTTATATTTAAAAAATAATATTTTATTAATTTCGAATCGAGTTGGATCGATTACGGTTTATATAATATTGAGTCGGATTCGAGTATAAAAAAAATTTTTAAAAAAATTTTCAGATCGGATCGGTTTTAAGACGAGCAAAAACCTGCCCTGACCCGACCCGTTGCCAACCTTAGTTACTCCACCGTGTAAAAACCTCAAGCTTCATTCTTGTCTTATTTTCCCTTACTAAACCCTTCTCTTCGTTCATGATCCAATTCTAATAATTGATCACGACTACAAAACAAAGCACTAGTAAAGCTCCATGACATTAAATACTCCTTGATACATCAACTCTTGACGTTGAGCCCGACCTTAAATCATATAAGCAATTCTTGACCTAAACAATACTATTTTGAACAGTTGGTTACCACAATGAACCATTAACAATTATAGTGGTAAAATAAAATCTGAAAACAATACAAACAGATGTAAGAAGCAGAAATAGTAACCTAAATCAGACAAGAACCTCTTCAAATTACCAAAAAAAAAAAAAAAACCTACTAAAATAACAAAGAACATAATGAAAATAGCTAAAACAGCGAAAGGGTACCCAAATAAAGGAAACTTACAGCTAGGAAAAGCAGCCTTATCAATAATCCCTTCAAGCGTATCATAAACCAACTTGCTATCCACAACGAACTTCAAGTAACCATCAACGCTGGGCTCCCATTTCCCCAAGGACCGTTCATCAGGGTCTTTCACTTCCTTTTCTCCTTCCTTTGCTTGTTCTCTGGTATGCAATTTCATTGCCACGAACCTCATCTCCTCCACAAACCCCTTAGCCTCTCGAGGGTACCTCTTCCTGGGCTTCACCGCCGTCGTGGCTGATACGATCCTAGTCGCCAAGTTTAAAAGACCGAGCTTTGGAATATGGGAAATCCTTGGGGATAAAACTGGAAGAGAGAGTGGGAGGTAGAGGGGTTGTAAGGTTGGGTTTTTTAAGAAGGGAGTGGGATTGGGAAATTGGGTTCAGAGACGCCATTGAAATAGAGATTTCTTGCTGGGTTTTATATGAGATTGGTTTGGTTGTTGTGAAGAAGAAGAAAATGATAGAGTTTTCAATAGAAAAACAAAGATTAAAAGGCTTGAACTGACGGTTCAAGTACTCTTTAAGTTAAAGCGATGGAAACAGATTGTTTATATGCAAAAAAGCGTAAAGAATCTTTCAAGGAGCAATTAAAAACAAAAAAGGGGGTTGCTTAAAAAATAGTGAGTTCAATGGGCCATTGTCTGGGTTGCTTCTCGCTTGTGTCTAGTATCTGTAAGAAATCTGCCACTGCTGTGTTCTAGCTTTTATTATTTTAATAATAACAACTAGTAGTAGAGAGATAAAGAAAGACTGAAAATTTGGAATCACCAAAATTATAATTTGCTTTTTATGTCATAGAAATAAAATAAATGTCAAAGCTGTATTAGATTATTTTTTATTTTAAAATGCCAAATCATTTTTTGATAAAAATATTATACCATTGTTCTGTTTTGTCATAAATTATTAATATTTTTTATAAAATAAAGTATGAGTAGATAATAAGTTAATTATTTAAATAATAAAAAATTGATAATATAAATAGTAAAAAGTTAGATAAATCAATGTGTAGTTGAAAGAATAATAGAAATTTGAAATAAATCTTTAATAAATCTAATAGTATTTTAAATTACTCATAAAATTTGATAATAAAAAAAAAAAAAATACCACCATTTGGTGTTTTGGCTGACTCTTTTCCTTTTTTTTTTTTTTTTGACTCATTTTCTCAAGCTAATTGGTATATTTTGGCAAAAAAATTAATTAAAATATCAATAAAATTTTTTGAAACAAAAATATTAATAATAAAATATGTGATAATTTTTAAGTTTAAAAATAGAAATTAAAGACAACGTCAGCTTGAATACAACGGATAGTCCAAAAAATTATGTATTTTTTACCTCGTTTTATTCGTGGCTCTTTGTTAGTTGTACCCTTTTTTTTTCCTCTTTCTCCAAATTATTTACGTGTCTTCGAGAGAACATAGAAAGTTCTATTACAAAAAACATAGAAAGTTACATAAAAATCCAACCATTGATGAGTGGGAATTAGCGTTTTAGTGTATTTATAAATGGTTTTGGAATTCGGTTACCGAGTTTTTATGAGCATAGATTAATGAGCATTTAGTTGAAATATTTAAAATATAATCCATCAATTTATTATGAATTAAAATTTTATAATTGTAATTAAATCACACCAAAATTTCGTGCCAACTTTCACGAGATGGAATCCATGATATCAAAACGCATAAGTGTGCACTCTTTTGTTTCTGATTATGATTATAAATGACTTGATTGAATAATTCTTGAGTGTAATTTAACAATTCTAAAATTAATAAAAAGTAGTATAATAATTTAAGAACACTGTTGTTCCTGTGCCAAATTGATTCAAAAACTGAATCCCTGAATCATATTTCAAATTGTAAAATACAACTTCTTACAATTTTTCCTTTATTTTAATATAGATTTACTATTTCCCAATCTACTAATTCATGTTATTACAAATCATTCTGTTACTGTTAAGTAATCTATCAGCAATCAGTTAATCTTTGAACATATCTTCCTAATCTCTCCTTCTAAGCCAGTTTTCACCTCAACGCTACTCATCTTGATCATTGCTTTAGGAAACTCAAAATCAAACCTTAACCCCAACAATCCTTTAATGTGCCCAGCATAGTTTTCTACTATGCTACGCGTAGGATCATCTCCCCAGAGCCTCTGGTCTGATTCCAAGACTCCTTTGCCATCACGCACGTTTTTGAAGTAGCTCACATCAAATTTGGTCTGGCTATCTATATCTAATGCAACCCTTTTCGAGCCATCACCATTTTGCGGACAAAGAGCTTGAAGTTGTGATAAGAAAGTTTGGTTGATAGTCGGGTCTGCACTTCCAGTTGTTGTGAAGTTGTATAAGCGGTATCGGAAGAACAAGCAATCCGTTTGGCCAATGGTATGTGCGCCTGCCACAGAAACATGTAAACCATTGAAATTTGTGTACTTTATTTATTGTTTGGTGGCAAAGAAATTAAAGGGATACGGGTATATACCAACTAAAGTTACGAGATCATGATCGTTGAGGCCTTTAGCTGCAAATTTTTGCCTTTGAGCAGCGATGGACTCAAGTGGAGAAGGTAAACTTGAGGTTTGAGATGATGAAGACACCCTGCCATCTCTTCTCCCTGTCGGTACAGTCCAACTTGGACCATCACTCTGTCATATGGAAACAAAACAAATGAAGCCCCTTAAGTGTATTTTGAACTAAAATGATCATTTTTATGTGTGTTACAAGGCGAAAAAGAATGCTACCAAGTCAACAGCGTCACGAGCTGCCAGCGCTAGTATGTCAGCACATGAGACTACTCCAGGGCATAGAGCTTCTAGCTGTGCTTTTGCATCATCAATTACTTCAAATCCTCTTAGGCCAAGGTTTGGCAATGCACTTCTCTCAGCAAAAGAGCCAGAGATTAACACTGAACCGTCACAGCCCTACACAAAAATCATATCATCATTTCATCTTCTAGCATTTCAGTTCTTATATATAAAAAAATTATGAAAGATCTGTAAGCAACCTGAACAAAGCAGTCATGGAATTGAAGCCTGAGTAAGCCAGCAGCAATAGTAGGATCTTTACTGAAGTGAGATTCAACTGTAGACCTTACTACGGCCTCAGCCTTTGGACATGAAGAAGAATAAAATCCATTCTGCAATCCTGATTCCAGGCTCCGAACTAACAATACCATCATCAAGTTGACTATAGAAATCAACCAAACAGCTCCCATTTTCACAATTGGTAAACAAAACCAAATCAGAATTAGCAAACCAGCTTCTGCATTTCACTACCAGGGCACCAGCATTTATATATGGGATTTGCTTAAAGTTGCTTCATTGGTCCGTCTTTTCGTTGAATTTTTAGCTGCTCTTAAGCTTCTTTTTAGTGGAATGCGTGGGACAAGTTGTATAACAGTAGTGCTTTCTCCTTTTAAGATTTGTCTGGCTATAGAAGAGTTAGGGAGGTGGAATCACCGCTCATATTTATGCTTCAAGAAATGGCAATTGATAATTAACGTAAGTCGTAGGCCTCTCTTATCCTTTGATTCTTTACGCTTTATTCCTTAACGCGTTTTTCCTCTCTTTTTCATGTTGAATCAAACATGTTCCTTTCATTTCCTTCTTTTGATTTTGTTTTTCTTCGCATTCACATTGATCAGATTATTAGGTACTATGGTAATTATAAATTAAAAAGTGTTAATAAGATCAAATACATCTTTTGTAAGGTTTAAGTTTAATTTTTTCTGTCAACAATCTTCTTTGGTAGATAATCTCAAATCTAATATAAATTATTGTTGAGTTTTGCAATTTGCTTTGATCCTAAAATGATATAGCCTCATCAGTCTATAGTGGTGAATGCAATAATATTTTTGCTGACGATGTTGTAGGTGTCTACGAACACTCAAAAAATTAGAAAATAAAAAAATTTAGAAGAAATCTTTCCTTTGTACGTTCTGAAATTTCTGGACATTCTCAAAAAATAAAAAATTTAAACAAAAAATTTCTTTGGACACCCCTTAAAAGTTTTTTCTCGTATTTTTTGATTAATAAAATTGATAAATCTATTGATAATGATATATATATATAAAATAAATATCCTTGAAAAAAATTTTAGATATTGCTCGTCTAAACTTTTATGTAAAAAAGAAAAATTTATAAACTTGAAAGTTTTCCTTTCAGCAGGAAGTTTCCTTTTTTTTTTACATCAAAGAGGTTTTTTTTCTTTTCCTCAAGAATTTTACATCAATGAGTAAGATATCGAGATTGGATTGCGTATTGGTGCTTTATATCGTGACAAAAGAATTGTCCAATAAATTCTAAATTATTCTAAGCCAAAAGAAAAAATAAGTAAAATGAATGAATGAATGAAGTTTTCAATGAATCCGTTGTAGTTTAGCATATTGGGTTTTCTTATGAAAGACCCGGTTTCAAGTCCCAGCAACCGAATAACTGAGGCAAATTTTCAATCACAATTCCAGATTTAACTACAGTTTGAAGCCAAACTACGTTGAAATAAGTGATTTTCTATTAGCAAAACCACAAAATCAATCATTGCCAACAAAATTTGAAAATGGTAGCCAGCCGGAGACTCCCTTCAGTCTTCAATACGCCACAATAGCCCTTTTGCCTGCATTATGTTCGTCTAGGATAATATGCATTTCTCTTTTCTTTTTTTTTTATTAAAAAGTTTAGGGTTATAGAAGGTTTTTTCATTCTAGAATCATAACAAATAGTAGATTTAACAAAAGATTTATATTGAATTTACAGATTGTTTGTCACAAAGAATTATTGATAAAAAAATTAAATTTAAATTTTACAAATAAAGTATTCGATTTTTACTAATTCAATTATTCTCAATAACCTAATATGCATTTTTAGTCTAGGATAATATTTTGAAAACAAGACGAAAATGCATTATTTATATTACATGTTCTTATTCGGAAACTTGGGATGGTTTCCTGTCGTTTCCTTGGAGCTGATTCATTTGGAAGAAACGAACCTTTATTTCCAAAATAAAAATATATATATTGTTGTGCTCTCTCTGTCTCTCACTTTTCCTTTCTTTTTTTTGAAGTTTCTTTTGTGTATCTCTTGGAAGAAACCATCATCCTCATCATAATTCACAAGCTTAAATTTGAAGTAGAATGAATGAGCACAGAAGTGCTTTAAGGGTAAATTAGGAAATTAATCTTTGTTGTTTAAAAAATAATAAAAATTCAGTCTATAAACGTTTATCCCCCAAAAAAAAGTCGGCAAGATGGTTGTAAAACTTTCCCAAATTTGAGTGAATTGCTTGTTTAAAAAGTAAAAAATTTGCCAGTCTTTGAAAATCGAATTAATAGTTTTTGGTGAAATTCATTTTGGTAAAAGGATAAAAAAAAAAAAACCTCTGATTTAAAATTTAATAATCACCTAAATTTTTTTAGTCAATTAAATCTTTAAATATTTATTTTCATCAATTAACATTTATTTAAAAAATAGTTAATTATTTTCATCCAATCGAAAAGTTTAATTGCATAAAAATATACATATAAAAGTTTAATTGAATGAAAATAAACAATTAAGAATTCATTTGACTGACATAAAAAATTTAAAACTTGATTAATTGTAATAAAATATCAAGGATTTAATTGATTATTCAATTTTTATTTAAGAGTTTTTTTTTTTTTGTTACCCTTATGCATTCATTTTTTAAAGAAAAATAAGTAAATCATTTAAATTAAATCCTAACTTTAAGATCAATTTACCTTGATAATACCTGTGATCTAAAAATATCAAAATTTGTAGTTCATTGAGAGATTAACAAAAAATCATAGGAAACATTTTACTTACAATTTTTTTATTATAATATTAAAATTAATTAATTATAATAAAAATTATGTAAACGTCCAACACTTAAAAATTTAGATTTTTTTATAATTTTTTTATTAGTCTCACATAATATTAAATTATACTTAATTTATTGTGTTGGCTGTAAGTGATATAGTGATATGCTCGCTTATCATGGTCAGCCTACCTTGCCTCATTATTGGCAAAAAAAACAAATCTTGGCCTCATTAATATAGTGAACTTATTTTTTCTAGTGACAATATTTTTCTTTTTGGAAAATTTTAATCTATTTTTTAACCCCTATCTTATTATATACTTAATTGAAGAAAATATTACATATTTAAATATCAACTTTAATAATATGTTAATTGACTCAAAAGATAATCGATTACTCATTATGATAATTTTGTTGCAAGATTTAAGAGAATTTTATACTTAAAAAAAAGCATACTTGTATTGTTGTACAAAATTAATCAATTCATTGATCCAAAACACACACCTTTCTATAACTCCAAGTCTCAACCTATTGGCAAACCAAAATTTTTATTATTAGATGGATGTCCACGCAATAAAAATTTTTTGTTTTAGGATCCTTATTAATCGATTTTTTTAACAAAATTTAGCGAATTAAAAAAATTAAAAAGTGAAAGGTAAAAAATAAAAACCAAATGAGAATGACGTGTAAACAATTTTATTGATTTCATTTTCTAGTAAAATTTATTTAATAAAAAATAAAACTAAAATTAAAAATATTAAAAAAAAGTGAAAAGCAAAAAAAAAATACAAAAATGAGCTCATAAAAGTGTCAAGCGCACAATTGAGTCTAAAATATTAATTTTTTAAATTAAAATATTAAATAATAATTTAATAATATAATATAAAAATATAAATATTATATTATATTAATAATACAATCTTTTTTTAATAAATCTTAAAATGCATTGAGATGAAATACTCTAATCTGGCTTTTGATCCGATTTAAGTTTTTTTAAAAACTCGATTCCTCTTAACTGATTTTAATTTAATAAAAAAAAATCGCATGTTACGTCGACAACTACATTTGTTTTTTTTTACAGACTTATTTAATTAAAAAAAGTAAATAAAAAAATAAAGAGAATAAAAGAGCTGATATCGAACGGGCTCCACAAAAAATAAAAAATAATTTATTAAATATATAAAAGAAAAAGTAAAATATATATATATATATATATATATATATATATATATTCAAATGGCAGGTCTTAACGAAAGTTAAAATTATCAAAATTAATAAAATCGCTCCTACTAGATCAAAGTGACGTGAAAGGTCCGTTACAAAATCAAAAAGCATAAAATTTATATAAAATATTGAAAACTTAAAAAAACAATCTAAAAAAGTTAAAAATATTTTTTACATTTTTTATTAATAATATCAAATAAATCACACAATTTTTTAAAAAAATAAATAAATAAAATTTTAAATATATAAAAATGAAATTAAAAAAAAAAAACCACGTGGCTTGTAAAATGGCAAGCCGAACTTACCAAAATTAACATATAGGATACTAAACCGCCGTAGTTCAATACAGCATTTACAGGTGTTAGTATTAGTATCTAAGACATGCGCTATAGAAGCATGAAATGTAAAACTAAAAAAAAAGTCAAGAAAAAGAAAACAAGAAAAAGAAAGCAAAAAAACAGGGCAGCGCAGAAGAGTTCAGTTCCCGTTACAAAACTAAACTATTTGGCTGCTTGCTCAAGAACGGGAATCTTTTTCCAGGTCTCGTCCAATCCGCTTATTTGCAGTGGAGGCAATGAAAAGACGCTAACAGTTGAGCTTCCCTTCCGAATTTCCTTCAAAACCCGCAATGCTGAAATAGTGCTTTTCATATACAGGTTCTCTATGTACTCGATCTCAGCGAGCTCTTTGGGCACTCTGAGCAGATCTTCGCTCTGAGAGGTAGAGGACAATGACAGATCACAGGCGTCATCCTCACCATCCGCACTGTCATCCCCATTCTTTGCTTCAGTTGAAGCTGGTTTTTCAGTCTTGGGGAAGAGATGGTCTAGCATCACCTCGCACTCCTTAACAAGCTTATAAAGCAAGTCCGTAGTGAAGAAGGGCTGGTGCAAAACCCTTTGGATGAAAGGCAAGCGGATCAAAGCACCAGTTCTTTTGTCATACTTCTTCAGTATTTTCACCAATCCTGTTCAAATCATATTATGTTAATGATTTATCTACTTGAAAAGCCACTAGAAAAAACTTCTCTTTTTTCTTTTTTTTTTTTATCCATACAAGCCATGCAAAAGACAATGAAATGCAAATGATCTTTCCTATGAACCAAAGTCTAAGCCATTGGACCCCTCTATGTCTGTTTTTCATTTTTCTAATATATAACCATCTTTGTATAAACAAATTATCTCCTCAGATGTTTAGTACTCCAAGCAGTGTGGAAAAGCTCTATAGCTAATGAATCAGTTTCCAAGGAGAATATATCGCAGCTCTGCTCTGCAATAGCAGGATAAGAAGTCCATTTAGAAGAAACTCACACTATCTTAGGGAAGAACAAAGAAATCATTCATATGCAGCCCAAACATCATCCTAATAGTTTGAGAGACCTGTATGTCAGACCAGACTCACAAAAATTCATGATAGTGTTATAACTTTATGATGCCTGTACTATACGGAATAAATATAATGGTTTCATATGCTGAAGCAAATGCTCCAAACACAATTGAATGGGGCCACTTAAAGGAAGGTAGAATATTTACACTATGTTTGGTAGGAAGGAAGAAAAATGGAAGGGAAAAAGTAAGGAAAGAAAAACGGAAGGAGAGGAAGGAGATTTGGAAGTAAGTAAAAGACTACAAGGTATAAATCCACTCATTTTCTTTCCCTCTTCCTAGTTCCTTCCTACCAAAGGAAAGATATGGTGGAAAGAAAGTAATTTTTCCTTCCACCCTTCTTCTTTCCTTCTTTTTTCCCTCCTACCAAACATAATGTTAATGTTTAATTAAAGAATGGATGTGGATAAGTCGTCTGGCAGAATATTGATGACAGAAGGAAGTATACAACACATAAAGGAATTCCGACTTCAAGAGAAATGGCTCATCGAACAGGCTGTTCTACAGATATTGCAAGTTGCTATAAACCTAATCATGTCCCTAAACAACACATTCGGGCCGGCTAAAATAGTACTATCAATTATGTAAAGCATTGAAAAAAACCAAGTGGCAATATCTTTGATTAAACAAACAGAAGAAGGGAATGAGGAAAGGTCAAATTACCTGTGTAGTTAAGGGCGCTATAATTCTCTAACAAAACCATCTCGCCATGGAAGTCCACTATCTCCTTCCTAATCTTTATCATCTCTTCATCAGAATCCTTTGCCTTTGCCACACTGTCTTGTAATTCCTGCACCCCCAAACCAAAATAACTCACCAAATCAGCATAAAATTTAGAAAAATGAAAAACCCATATTGTCGAACTTAAAACATTAACATGCAAACTATAGCTTGTGCTTCGACGTACAAGCCTTTCATACATGTGCGCCAGTTGAAGGAATTTTCTCGCAAGTCGACAAAAACAGTTTAACTGTTTAACGGAACCGTTATGGACAGACCAAAAGAGTTCCAAAAACAAAGAAGGGAAAGATAATATGTTTTCTTTATTTAAAGCTAAACGACAACGTTTTTGGCCCGTTAATTAATGTTGCACCCCTGTTTGTTTACCGGGAAAGCAGGAGAAAGAAACGAAAAACAAAAAAATTCTCCCTAACCAACCAGATCGAAATCAAACCAGGGTTGGAATTACCTTCAATCTAATGATGTATTCTTCCTCTTTCTCAACAAAAAACGTGTTGAATTTCTCCAGCTCAGCTTCCAAAAGATTAATAAAATCAGTCTCCTCTCTCGACATACCGTCTCCGTCGCCCACCTTATCTCCGGCGACAACAACATCACCAGAATTTTCATCCAGTCTAAGCCGTTTATTGGGCCTCTCACAGGACTTAGGCTCAATAAGCTTCAATTTCTTCTTAAGCTCCTTATAAGAAAGGAACTTATCCCGCCATTCAGGCAACGTCTCCTCGATCTGGTTACCAAGGCTCTTTCCAAATTTCATCGCAAAAACTCGCCTTTTTTTCTAATCTTAACAGGATGTTTGGTTGGTGAGAAAAAAAAAAAGAAAGAAAGTGAGGGAAAATGAGAGAACGGAGGAGGTAAGGTTGTTAGTGAGAGGAATGTGGTGGCCGGTGGGCGATGGAGAACGAGGGAATATAACGGAAAGGGGAGAATATTCGGAGGGTAGGGCGAGAATATCCGTTGGGATTTTATAAAGAAAGCATATCTTGCGACGTGGGTTTTATTCCTTTTGAAAGAGAGAGCTTTAATTTAATTTTTTATTTGTTTGTTTATTTTAATATTATTTCTTGTTGAACATTTTATTTTAAGGGAAGTTGACATTGGACGTGGCAAAAGTTTTTTTACTGTCTGTTTTTGTAGCGGATCGGAGGGAGTTATTGGTTTGGACTTTGGGTCGAAACTCGGAAGTGTTGAGTCGGGTCACGAGTGAGCTGATTGTCATAAAGACATTATAGTGTGAAGTGGAATTTAATGTGTTTGGTCCAATGACCAATATTTGACCATTCAAATTCAATTATTACTGTAACAAATTTATTATTTATTTCAAAATAGTTTTATGCAAAACAAGATTATTCCAATGCTAATAACGCTCCCAAAGTTTTATGATGGAATCAACTCGTCATTTTTTTTTTTCATATTTTGTGGGTAAATTTTTAGGGTTTAAATTTTCGAGATGCTCGTTCAATTTTTTTTTTACAGTCGTATTAGCTTTAATTTAATAAAAAAAAAACTTATTTTTTAGTAAAAATTTAAAAAAATTGAAACTTAAAAGATAATTATTTTAGACGAAATGTTATTTATAATGATTTAAATTGAAAATTTTTTAATCGCACAAAAATTTTTTAACTGACGTTATTCTTTTTTTCAGAGTTAACTAGACTATTGAGTTATATTATTTCTTTTTATTTTTTAAAAAACTGGAAGAGGTTCAAATTTTGACTTTTATATCGTTAATATATAATAAAAAGATAAGAAGATCTAAAACTCTGTCAAAATGGTTCTTAGATGAAAAGTGATTTTTATGTGTATTGTTCGTTTGTTTTTTTCATTCTGTCATCCAAAAGCATACCAGCAGCATAGTGACAGACCAAAAAAAAGGAAAAATACATAAATAATCATTTAATTTTATAATTTTTTTAAATAATTGCTTACGTATTTATCTATTTAGTTTAATCATTTAAATTTAAACAAGTATTTTTTTAATTACTAAGTCGTTAGTAACCAATAGCATGATAATGTGAATTGCCACGTTAATTATGAAATGTTAAGTAACATTGTCAAATTGTCTGACAAGTCACGTGGAATTGTGATTCGGCATTATAAAATTTTAAAAAACATTTCAATAACTTAATTTAAAAAAAATTTTTTTAATCACTCAACTTTAAAAATTATAATTTAATCACTAACAAATAAATTTTTATATTTTATAAATAAAATATTTGATTTTTTATTGCATAAAATTAAATTGTAAATTTTTTATTTTATTGTAATTATACTATTTAAATTTGAAAAAAAATTATCCACTTACAAAAATTATTAAAATAATATTACTTTAAATCTTTGTTATTCAATTTATCCAAATAAACTCAAATAAGTTCATATTTCATAATGTAAAGATTTACTTTTAATTTAATTTAATAAAATAATAAAGGAAATATATATAACAAAATAACATTAATTAATTAATTAATTAATTATATTAAATTTCACAAATTGTTGGTAATTATATCGTTAGAAAGTTACTTGAGAATAACATCCAAATATTAATAATTTCACAAATATTGATGACTAAAATGTAAAAATTTAAAATAGTTACTTGCATTTATTTGAATTAATTGAACGACAAATATTCAAAGCAATATTATTTTAGTAATTTTGACAATTGATTTATATTTTTTTATTTTCTAAATTTAAATGATAATTATAATAAAATAAAAGTTCATAGTTTAATTTCATACAATAAAAATATTGAATGCTTATTTTTATTTTTTATAAAATTTAATGATTTATTTGAATGTATCTCAATATATTTTAATAGATAACATAAATAATAAAATTATTTATTATATTAAAATTCATAAATTTTGGTGATCAACTCACTATAATTTATAAATTTATGATAGCAATGAGCCATTAAAAAAGAAGATCAAATATATTGCACAATATCAAAGTTTTTAATTACAATAAGTTTATGTTATCTATATTTTTTAATATTTTATTGTATGAAATTAAAATTATGAATTTTTATTATAATTAAAATCTTCACATATAAAATACTTACTTAAATTTATTTACATGGATGAATCACAAATATTTGAAATAATGCTGTTTTAGTAAATTTGACAATTGGATAATATTTATCTATTTTTCAAATCTAAATGATATAATTACAATAAAATAAAAATATATATAATTTAATTTCATTCAATAAAAATATCAAATACTATTTCTATTTTTTATAAAAATGGAGAACTTAGTTATTAATGATTAAATTGTAAATTTTCAAAATTGAGTAGTTAAAATAAAAAATTTTTAAAAATTAAGTGATCAAAATTTATTTATAATATTATATCAATAATATCACATAACTTATTAAAAATATGATAATATTATATCACATCTAATAATTGATGTGATAATAATACATCAATATTCCGATAGGCACTAACAGTTGAGTAATAAAAATAAAATACTTACTCCAAGATTAAATTTAAAAAATTAATATTTAAATAATCATTTTAAAAAACTCTTAAAATCGAATCACTGTTTATATATTTTATCTAAAAATAAAAATAAAAAAGTGCTAATTTTTTATAAATAAATAAAAGCTCGGCGAAGCTTCAAAAGCACAGCGGCAAAGCCGAGCCGAAGTGTGGGACCTTTGCACATTTGTTTGTGAGGCTTGGTATAATTCCAAAGCATTTGGAATATCCATACAGTAAGATGTGGAGTTTCATTTCCACCTTTTTTGTGTTTTTACAATTTTTAGGATTAATATTCCGAATTTCTTGAATTTTAGTAAAGGTTGACGTGACATATGAATTTAATAATTTTTTAATGTCATTTAAATTATACATTTATTAACTAATATAATATTTATTTTAAAATATTTAATTTCAAATAATAATGTATGATAAATAAATAATTTTTTAATATTATATTAATTAATAAATTTATACTTTAAATATTATATTAAAAATTTTTTAAATTTAAATATGATATTAAATATTTTCTTATGATTTGAAAATTCATTTTTGATATTATTTTTTTATATAATAATTCTGTTAAGAGAAAATTCGAATATATGGCTTGAATATTCTTGGCTTTAACTTGGAATCTCGATTTTATAATTAATACTAGAATCTTGCCCTCCGTCTCACTGTGATTTTATTTATTATTTATAAGATTTTTTAATTAAATTAACATTAAAATAAATAGTTTAAAATTAAATTATATTATATAATTTTTTGTGCGTTGCTACGGTTTAAATTGATATTATCTATTAACTTTCTTCAAAGAATGAATTCATGAACAATTTATAATTAGACTCATAAAACAATTTCATTACAATTTTTTGGCAAAAACTAAAGGCATAATAGAATAAAAATAAGCTAATGAAACAATAATAATTGTAGATTAATGTACCTAGTTTTCTTTGTGAGAACGAAACTCTGAAAGCAAATAAGGGTTAATACAATAAAAAATTTCTAAAAGTTAGGCTAATGAAACAATAACAAATGTAAATTTATGTATATGGTTTTCTTTGCGATAACAAAAACACTGAAAGCAAAGAATGGTCACTACAATAGAAAATTTTTAAAAAATTTTAATCTAATACAACAATCATGATATGGATATTGTGTAACAGAAGATAGATTTTGAAAAAATGGATTTATTTGGCCAAGTTTGAAAGAGAGAATATTAGAATAGCATGGACACCAATGAGCCACCAGCAACTTGATTTTCTTGTGAAATTGATAAAAGAATGAACATCCATATATTTGGGACTATAAATAGTTGGAAAACGATTGAAAGAGGGGACCTCAAGGAGGAAGGATTGATATGAATTGTTTCAACTGTTTGGGGATTTGAGAAAATTTAAGAGAATATTGTGGAACATTGTTATGGATTCAATGATTTTCAATAAATAAAAAACTTGAATAATTATTAGGAATTCGAGATAAATGGGTTAGATTCGACGAAGGCAAGAATTTTTTTGAATTTTTTTTTTGGCCAAATAAAGGTTTAGTCCATTGGAATCCTAGCTAAAGGTTTCAATAGATTTCAAAACCAAAGAGTTTGGATAATTATAAGAAATTAAAGGACATTGATTTAGATGAATGAATTGAAGAGATTTTTTAGCTTTTCAAAAAAAAAAAAAAGTCACCAAATTAATATTCTATTGCAAAATGTGTTGTTGTTTAGTTGATCTTATTTATGTTTCTAGGCTGTTGCCACGTTAAGGATAAAAATAATAGCATGTTAGATTAAATACTAACTATGTAGTTTCTCGCGCGTCATTGCAGTTCAACAACAATAATAATTAAAAATACTAAAACGTATTTGTACACACCTATTTTATTAACCTCTCAAATATTAAGGATTCTAAAAACAAATGTGAAGCTCTATTATGAAAAAAAAAATTGAAATTGGTTAAGAATTTTACAACACAAATTAACAAATCATGATCAGATTCTTTTAATACTTTTCGAATTTATAAGCTAAGTTTTTTAATTGATGGATTCTGCAAAAATGAATTGTAAATAAGTGAGTATATTTTTAAATAAGCAAAATCTAGATAATGATTAAAAATGGATTTTTTTTTTTCAAATTTTCTTATAAAGGTTTTTGAAAGATCGAAAAATTAAATAAATTAACAGAAAAATGATTGGATAAGAAAGAAGAATAAATTTCATCATTCTGGGGTTTAATGAATTAAACTTTTCACTTCTTTTTATGAACGGATTAATTGTGATAATGGGTGAAGAAATCGATAATTGCTGGATTTAAATATTTTTTATTTGAATATTATGTTAGATAATTATAAAATTTTAATTTGCAAGTTAAAAGGTCAAATTAATTTGTGGAGTTGTATAATCAAATAAATAAAAAGATTTCTCTAAAAATAAAAGAATAATTTATTTATGAAGTTGACATGTGATATTTAAAAAAAAAAATTATAAGTGTAAATAAAA